TACTAGATCGATAGCTTTCTCTAGGCCTAGGGTAATACCCTCTAGCTCTCCGTTGTAGACTAGCTGGTTGTATCCTATATTAACCTTTTCCTGAGCTATAAGGCTAGCTCCTTTGTAGAAAGCTACTCCTACTCCTATACCCTTGCCTTTGCTAGTAGCTGAGGCGTCTGAGTAGATAGATAGGAGGTATTTGTCTTCTAATAGTTCTTTGTGTTCTTTTGCTTCGATTTCCTTTGACTTCTTAGATATAGTCGTCTGATAGAGTATTTCTGAGCTCCATGGCATAGAGGCGTAGTGCTTTATCTTCTCACTGTCGTCCGATAGTGTAGTTGAGATAGATCTAGTGATACGCTCTAGCTGCTTCCCTTGATTGCTAGCGATAGCGATGTTCAGAGGGTGGCTAGGAGCTAGTTTTCTTGCTCTAAAGGCGTATTGACGCAGGGCGTTGTTGAGTCTAGCTCTAGGAGGGTAAAGAGCTGCTTCTACCTCGCTAGGTATAGCTTGGCATGATATAATTGTCCTTGTTAGAAGCGGGGTATGCAGCTCCATAAGTCCTCTAATAGTTGTCGCACACGTAGGTGCGGGGTTGTGTAGCAAGAAAAAGTTTAGTGTATAGCTATTGCTTTTTCTTGTTAAGATGCTGCATCCTTGTTGCCGTTGCAGTGGCTTGTTGCTTCAGCTCAGCTGAAGTTATTGCTTCTGTGGCCTTGCAAAGGCTGCGATAATAGTTCATATAGTTATCGAAGGGATGATCTAGCGTGATATTTCTAGAGAGTTTAGCCTACTCAGACTTCAGCTGTTGTAAGCGCCTCATTAATCGAAGTTCACACGGACGTTTATCGTTTTTACGTATCCTGTAAAGACCATAGAAGCTACTAGAGCAGTAATGTCTTCTTAATCGCGCAAATAGATATTGCTACAAACGGCGCTGTTGTTCTTGTGGTCAGCCCACACAGTAAGAAGATCCGAGTCTGCTCCTTTATTCTTGAAAATACATCGACATATTTTAGGACTATGTTCGGACAACACTTCGCTAAAGGAAAAGATTTGAATAGTGATAATTCTAAAGAGATTCTCATGCCAGACGACAACGCAAACGCCTTAGAGGTTATCTGTAATATTATGCACCTCTGGAATGATGCAGTTCCACATAGAGAATCAGCACGAGACCCACAGAAACTGGATCGGACACGGCTAGTTATGCGCGCTAGACCGGTCTATTACATAGTTAAAGCTACTAATCAGGAGAATAGGTTTAAAATTAGGTCTATTCCTTATGCCTATGTAAAAAACTCCGCACACTCGATCTTACCTGCCTAGAGAAAACAGCACCTCTGGCACTTATAAGATAGCGAATCCTGCAGGTATATACAAGAGGATGTTAAGTTACTTAGTAACATGCTTAGGCTGAGTTGTAAAGTTTGCCTTCTCAAATAAGGTGGAGGGGCAAGCTCGCACAGTTCTGAAGAGGTCGACCCGCTCCCCATCAGCATGTTGGGTGAAAGAACCTGTTTAGCTGACACAATTAACCCAATAGTGTGGTGATGATGATAGTGGTGTGGAACTGCGTGTTGCATGGCGCTTTGCACTCCAAGTACCTAAGGCTAAAGTCATCCTGCAGCGAAGCAGAGGTAGATCAGCTAAATCAATTCTGGAACCTAATGTGCCAATAGCGGGGGAGGGGGGCTGACTCCTCTAGCGCTCCGCAGTCTCGCTTCAGATGGTAGATCTTAGGCTAGCGCCATACTGGTATGTAAAGTCTTGAACGATATGCTAGGAGCTAGATTTGGCCTCTACCCAAATTCAGCTCAAGCATGGCACCAGTCAACTTAACATTCTCTGGTACAGTGTACACCTACAGGATTCGCTATCTCACTAGTGCCAGAGGCGACTCGCCGTGCCACTTAGACGCGTCTTAACTATGCAAACCAGTGGGTCACGCTCTACGATGAAGCTCAGGTCCATCCTTAGGATAAAATAGGCATGCTTGTATTTTTTCGGATTCTTCGGTTTTGCGAGCTTCAGCTGAGGACATGAACTGCCTAGTCTAGAGCAAATCACCGTCCAGGACTGAAGTATAAGTATAACAGGGCTCTCCCTGACTCGACTGTCTATCTTCACCTCTCTAACAAGCCTCTTGTCCATCAAAAGACCCTACTACTGCATCTACATCAGGCAGACAGACCCCTGATCCAACCACCAAGACCCCGAGCACCTTAGCACCTACCTACCTCTACCATGAAGCTCATCCTCCTCATCGCAACCCTCGCGGCCACTGCTCTCGCTGCACCGCGTGCGAGCGGCGACATGGTTCCTGAGGCGAACATCGAAGCCCTCGCCGACAACTGCTTCCACCCTTCGCAGTGCTCGGCCGGCTGGGCCGGCAAGTGCGAGTGCTACTGCGGCTCGGTTTTAGGTTTCTCCCACATGAGCGGTGCCGGATGCGGCTTTCGACAAAAGAAGTGCTGCTGCAAAAAGAGATGAGCCGCAAAGCCACCTCTTCCCCTACCTCAGACTGAGGGCGTGCAGGGTCGTCACCAAGCAGCGGGAGGATGGTATGTGTGGCAGCCGCCGTACGGGGCCATCGGAGACTCGGGTTGAGCGAAAGTGTCTGTGGTACAATCGAGACGGGGAATCAGAGACTCAGGGATAATTTAAGAGATCCCACTCTTGTACATTCGTTTAGTTGTGTTCTTAGCATAGTTTGTCGTTGTTGGTACATAAAGCTGCAGTAATATATTGTCAAAGACTTAGCCATACTATCCATTTGGGAAGACATAGCAGAGTGTTGAAACACTAAACATTATCTCCCCCTCTCCCCCTTCGTGATGTACCACTGACCGAGCATTTCGTTCTAAGAAGCTCTAACTAGTGTACCGTAGCGGGCACGTGAGCTTAAGGATTACAATAGCTAGGGAGGAACGTGAACATCACAAAGACACAATATCAGAAAATTGAAAAAAATACTAAAGTTTAACAGTAAACACTTATATCAATCACGTCTGTTATTTTTCTCTATTATCTCATTTTTAGGATCTCATCCATCTGACCTTACTTACCCGATACTACCTACCCAAACTCATCTATCTAATCTACTAGAGACGACTCGGTTAATTGACCAACTCCTATTCCAACACACGAGTTAAGTGAACCTATCACCTCACAAATAGTAACAGATTTTGAGACTTTTTATTCATCTTTTCTCAAACATATATTAAAATACTTTAGACCTAACGCTTAATAGGTAACGATAAAGTCAAAATGCTAACGATATGTAGTTGTCAATAGCATTAAGAAGGGATAGTAAGCGGCTGCGGTGATTAACACGAGATTAGGCCATGCTACTAGTCCTTAGAGGACAATGTTTTGAAGATTCGTTACTTGGGCCTTGTTAGAAGCAGTCGATCTCGCTAGCAAGAAGGACGGCCAGCCCGTTCCGGTCATGACCTTGCTATGAATGACCGCACTAGATGGCGTTGCGAAGAAATATAAGGGTCATTCTTGATGACAGAATAGCACGCAGCTTTAGAGAGCGTAGTATCATAGTAAGCATAGCTACTATCAGATCTCTACTTTACCCTTACCCAGTGCTCATAAATATGGACTATCTGAACTCCTCATTATTCTTAAAGATTAAAATATAACTAGCATCTTTCTATAGCTTTAATAATTGCAGTGCTTATACAGAGAGCTATTTATTGTATAACTATACGACAGCTGCATCCCTAAAATATGCAAGCTCTTTCCCCTTCTAAGCGTGCGTGCAACGACAGCGTCTTTCTAGTAGCACTTATTCCGCTTAACGAGGTCTAGACTTAGACATTAGTATTCTGTATCATGCCAGTTAGCCTCTGTCCCCGGCTATACCCGCTAGGTAAGACCTGCCCACTCTATTCTTAGACGCCTCTTAACTCATAGTACTCTCTTTAACAAGCTAAGGCGATATGCGGCTACAGTTAGGTATATATGTTGTACAGCCACACAGCCACACAGCTACGGATCTCATGTCAGCAGCGATAGGTTACAGCTAGGCTACTTTAAGCTAGGTATGCGGGGCTTCCTTATCTGGCACTTCTAGCAGGCGGACTTAGAATTAGCACAGAAGCGCGACAACCTCTTAAGCTCAAGTGCAGTGCTCGGGATAGAATAATAATACGATAAGCTATAAGTTAACAGACTTTCGAGGAGATACAGGAGCTTTTAACGCACCCGCTGCCAGCCAAAGCAAGGCAGTCGCTTAACGCTTATACTAAATTATCGTATTATACGGTAAGCAGAACTTATCTCTAAAAGACATAAGAAGAGAATAGACTATATGGCTCAAGGCTATTACTCAGAGAATATCTATTCTTCTAACCTATTATTGCGTTTGTTGTGTTAGGGAGTGTCTGTAGCGTCCCGCCACGCAGGATGTCCCGTTACGCAAAGACAGACGTTACTGCCTTTGTTACTTATTAGGCTGCGTGTGCTACTAAACAGACGCTCTATCCCGAACGAGTTCCATCAGTAAGTGGACCACCCTACTAAGTCTAGCTAGTAACACATAACGTATCGTAAGCGCAGCGCATTATTAAAAGACCTAAATAGCCTAGAACTTTACATAGAAGCAGCTATCTCTCTCTATAAAACCTATAATAGAGCGTGTTACTATTATAACAATATAATAGGTTAACTACCTGTTACAAGTAACAAGAAGGATTCTCTCCTTAACAAATGACGAGATGGCTGAAGGCCTAAGGACGTCCACGTCAGAAGGTAATGATCATCGCGGGGCGAAGATCACGTGACTGGCTTCACGCCAAGACCAAGTATCCAGCGCTAGTATGTGAGGACACCCTCACACGTGACTAGATGTCTTTAGGGACTTCAGAAGATACAGGGATTATTTCGTAAAGACTATGAAGCCAGGACTAAAAGCAATGAGGATATAAGGATAGATAGATTTCATTATTACTCTCGTTATAGTCAACTCAAATTGTACTTTCTTACTAGTTACTCAACTTTACAAGATTAATACTTATTAGTCTATTCGATATAGATTAGGAATTGTCAAACCTATTGTTATCTATCTTTCAAGCACGCCCACTCCACTGCATCGCCAGACAACTACCTCACGGCGCTATTCACATATCCTTACTCGCCCTAACCCGGATCGAGCTTAGAGAAGTATCAGCACCCAACCCCGTGTAACACTACCCTAGAATTATAATCACTTTTACAGCTCTAAGGAACTAAGGCTTACAGATCATCATTAACTCTAGATCTACTAACGCCCGCATTCATGCTTCTATCACTTAGTTAAGACCTTGTTAAAGTTACTCATTATTAGCGAGAAGGTCTTCGTATAAGAGTTACGCTTAGTGATTTTAGCTATCTAGCCCGTTATTTCATAAGGATGGCTCCGCGTTCATTATAATATCGTAACTTACTCTTAAGCGCGCTTATTATACTTACAGAGATACGTTCTTAATTTTTTATTCTTATATAGAGAAGAGATAGAGGTAGTAATCTCTCTACTTATATTGAGGGCGAAGAGGCCTTCAAACGAGTATGCATTAACCTATAACTATTATAGAAGAAGAAAGATAAAGAAAGTAAAGCTATCATACGACGTCTCTCGCTTTATACTCTTGCCTTAGGTTCCTTCGTACGAATAAGGTTTCGTAACTAAGCGGTGTGAAGAGGACACGTGATACAATCACGTGTTTCGCTTACGGGCGCAGCCCATTACACTAGAACTAGTTACTATATTCACATCACAATCTTTGTTACTAACTAGGGATGTATCCTATACCTTATAATTATGTTAATGTCTATGCAACAATCCTAACGTACTTATAGGGTTCGCGTTCTCTACTGAGATAATTTGTATCTCCTAATATTCATGGTTCTTTTCTTGTGAGATTTGCTCCTTATCGTGGAAGTCAATGTCTCTAATTGAAAACCAGATTCGCAGTTCCGATATTGGCTCTCATAGAGGCCTTTTGAACAACCGCATCGAATCTTCCGGGAAACGTTAGTTGTATTTTTGGACCATCTTCACCTTATATATATTTAGTCTTTCTATTGCAATCCTCGATCGACTGTTTTTGTTTCATACTTTGCTTGTACAAGGTGAGCTGTTCAAAGGAATATTTTTCTCCTTGAAAATGACTATGATTTTACATTGCAGATAGCTGATCTCGCGTAGCTCTTCAGAATTAGACAGGGAGGCGGATTCATGAACATTGGAAAAGGAATGGTAAATGGTTGTGTAAATGGAACAATTCTCGTGAGGGCCACTCCTTGATGTTTTAATCTGACTTATTACTTAGCTGGTTTACTATATCCCCAATGTTGTTATTCAAATCGCAACAATCATTTTGACCTCACAAAAGGGCATCGAAGACCGGTTCATTTTACCACCAGCGGCAGATCGGATTGCTTCAGCTCAGGCTCTCAGAATCATACGCAACCTGTGGAGGAGCGGGCAAAAATAGCAATACCAGATAGAAAATCCAATGAGCTTAACTGCCATAGGTTACAAATGAGGATCTCTCCCTGATGAACATCGTAAGGTAGAAGACTATCAGGCGTCTATATCTAATGCCCATATCTTAGCGTGATGCCAATCACGTGATCTTTGCCCCGGGGAGATTATTACCTTCTGTGACGTAAATGGCGTTGTACATAGATAGCTGTGTAGCCGATGAGCTTAGCTCTTTATTGAATACAATTTTTTGTATGACCAACGTTTGCTCTCTAGATTGTAGCCCCGTACAATACCCTCCATCTATAACTTACACCAAACCTAAATATATAAAGGAACTTAATTTGTCTATATGATAGAGTGAGAAAGTGTTCTAACACTAAAGTCCTTGCCTTGGCGTGTGGGGAAAATTCTATAGTGTGGGGAAAAGCGCGCATAATACTCTTCGCGGTAATGTTCCCCGAAGATTTTCAAAGTTGGTTAAATAAAGTACGAAAGTGGAATAGATCAGGGTGCCTTTAACCGCGAGCCTCGGACAAAACCCCTCGAGCATGATGAAGAAAAACTTCACTCCTAACCTTACTCCACGCCTACATTGTGATGCGGAAACTGACAATTGCGCTATTAGCTTGGTCGCCGCTTGCGGCCAGCCAGTTCAACTATTCACAGTATGTAAATCCATTCTGGGGTACTGAAGGGCCAATACCAAATTACACTTTTGGCGGTGGTGCCGTTTTCGTGGGAGCGGCGGTGCCGTATGGTGTGGTCAAATTGACAATGGATACATACGTCAAGAACACGAGCATTGCGGCGTTGCAAGGTGGATACACGCCAAATGGCCTCATCACGGGCTTCTCGATGATGCATGAGTCTGGCACAGGAGGGTGTTCAAAGTACGGCGTTATTTCGCAAATGCCCCTTACAAACATTGAAGCACCGGTCAATCTCTTGGATAATCGCACGTACTGGCAGGAACGTGTTGGGCAAGACCATGCAAGCGTTGGATATTTCCGGACGAGCCTAAAAAACGGTGTCACAACGGAACTGAGCGCAACAAGACACGCAGGAGTGTTGCATTACGAGTTCCCAAAAGAAAAGAAGAAACATATCCTTGTCGATGTGTCGCATTATCTTCCAAATGTTGTTGGAGGATATTGTACTCAAACGTTCCATCAGGGCGAGATCAAGATCTCGCAAGATCGCAAGAGCTATCGAGGTTATGGAACTTATGCCGGAGGATTCAATGAGGGTGCGCCGTATACAGTCTATTTCTGTGGCGAGTTTGAGACAGCCCCGGATGAAGCGGAGACATTCGCTGGCCGTAACCAGTTCCCTGGTTTCAATGCGATGAACCCAGAGCCTCTCCCATGGCCGGTTTTTGTCTCAGAAAATATGACCACCCCCCAAGGTTCACGCGTTGGAGCGGTGTTTACATGGAAAGGGACTCAGACGACGATTCGTTCCAAGATTGGGATATCGTTCATTTCAGAAGAAAAAGCCTGTAGATTCAAAGATGAAGAGATTAAGAGCTGGGATATACAGGATACAGTTGATGCAGCAGTCGAGGAATGGAATCGTGAAGTTTTCAGTACGATTCGGGTGGATACCGGAAATAACACCAACCAAGAGCACCTCGCGCTGTTATATTCATCGCTCTACTTCATGCATCTCATCCCATCTAATCGAACCGGCGAAAATCCCCTCTGGCAATCGGAAGAACCGTACTGGGATGATTTCTACTGCTTATGTGGGTTCACTATCTCAACTTTTCTTGTCGCGTATTAACCACGTTGGCCAGGGGATACTTTTCGTAACACGATAAGCCTTTCCCATTTGATTCAAACCGATGCATATGAATCCCAAATTCGCTCACTTATCGATATTTGGAGAAATCAAGGTTACATGCCCGATGGGCGCTCAGGAAATGACAACGGTCTAGTACAAGGCGGCAGCAATTCTGACAACGTGCTCGCAGATGCTTATGTGAAGGGTCTCCGTGGAAAAATCAATTGGGCAGACGGCTATGCTGCTATGGTGAAAAATGCCGAAGTGCCTACTAATGGCAGCAACAAAGAGGGGCGAGGTGCAGGCGGAGATTGGCTACAGTACGGATACGTCAGCTCTTCTATGCCCAGAAGTATATCACGAACTGTTGAGTATTCCCTAAATGATTTTGCTCTGAGCCAAGTAGCAAAGGGCGAAAAGCCTGGCGACGTGTCAATGTATTTGAAGCGATCGGCCGGGTGGCAATTACTCTGGGATCCCAGTACACATAGCGTGAACACTTCGAAAGACTTCAGTGGCTTTCTTACTCCAAAAGACAGGAATGGCACATTCAACCAGACTGACTACAATCCAGCAAAATGTGGCGCTTGCTCATGGTCGTCAATCACTTACGAAGGCACACCTTTTGAATACTCTTTCACGATTCCTCACGACATGAAGACACTGATAGAGAAGATGGGCGGCCCTAAAGGTTTTGAGGAGCGTCTTGATTATATCTTTATTCCATACACTAGCCAAGCCGACCTTGGGCCCAACGGTGCAGGAATCAATACTATTATGAACATCGGGTAAGAAAGTGGCTTTCAGGCTTCCACGACCTACGACTCGAAGGAATGCTAATTGATATTTTAGCAATGAACCAGACTTTGCTACTCCTTATCTATATAACTATCTCAACAAACAGTGGAAGTCAGTGAATCAATCGCGCTTACAAGCCAAACAATAGTATGTTTTCAGCTTCGCTTTGCTTCCAAAGAGGTGTAAGCTCACTACCTATTCAGCTTCCGCAATACCACGAACGGTATGCCTGGTAACTCAGATGCCGGGGCCTTGAATTCCTGGCTGATCTGGCAAATGCTGGGTCTCTACCCAATTGTAACACAGCCAGTGTACCTTCTCGAGTCGCCTTGGTTTAGCGATATCAACATGACGATTAGTAGAGATAAGACCTTGCGAATTACGGCGAATGGGCTTGCCGAAGATAGCTTCTATGTTCAAGGCGTGAAGATCAATGGAGTTCAGTGGGATAGAAACTGGTTCAACCATGATGACGTTTTCCATGAGGGGGGTACCATCGAATTTGATCTTGGCAAGGAACCTGTAGTGTGGGAGAAAGGTGATGTGCCACCTAGTCCAGGAAACTTGGGTTAAAAATATCGTAGGAAATCTCTTGAAACCATAATAAGACTAATACTAGTACCGATGCAAGTGCAGATGAGCAGCGGCCAGGACGCTATTAACCCACACTTCTACTCTTGAGTCTAAAAAATGCTGATTCGGACGCAGCCTCGAGTACAAGGAGCGCAAGACAAAGTGTTTGGGCAACAACGAGTGCGAGCAATAGGTACAGGCTCGCTGATCTGCTGTGCGCCTAAGTATGCGCCAGGCCCTGCGCGCAAACGCTGTGCCACCAACGCCACCATCTCTGCTATTACTACCGCTGCCGTCCGGCAGACCTCCCCGGACAGCATTGTGTGGCAATCGGACGTGACAGGCCGCCTGGACAGGCTTGAGGCGCTGTTGCGTCGCACAGCTGCGCCACTAGTCGGCTGTCGCTGCCGCTGGCCTTCCCGCGCCCTTGAGCAGCCCCGAGGGGGGTGTACATGCAAATAGAGAAATGTTTGACACCACAGAAGCCACGTTACAGTAGCCCATCAACGCCCTCAATCATCTGGCCAATATGAATTGCAGCAGCTGTGCCGGGCGTGGCCCCTCGAGTGTAAACGGCACCAATCATGTAAACAACCATCAAGCGACCTCTGACCAAAACGATGCCGCCCTTAACCCAGTCATCAAACCCAACATAAATTAAATAACCCCGGCATCGACAACGTCGCCCCCCCGCTCCATGTTGCACAGCCGCTGAATGCACAAGTTGCATCCAGTGCTGTTAGCCTTTCCTGCGCATGTAGGACCCCGCCACCCGTGCCGCTGATTCCCAGTGGGTGCAAGACAATGCCAACGGCTATTTGAGACGTTGTATCCTCATTATTCGTGTCTTGGTCGCATAAAGGTGCAGCAACGCGCTGCAATCCGCTGCCCTCGTTTATATTATGATCGCTGCTTATCGCGTCAATAATGAAGCTCATGAGCGCGGCGCTCTGTTGCTGGGATGGCAGCAGTTCCTACGTGTCCTTTACCTCCTCGACCATTCGGACCTTTTCATTCACGTCAAGTCCTGCGATGTGGTAATGAAACTCAGCTGGATATTCACCTCTTACAAGTATGCCGACTTTGGTAGTTATAGGCGCTAGCAAATCCTTGGCACAAGTGATACGCACGCGATTACGGCCTACGTATTTCCTGGACCTGGTGTTGTTTCCATCTTGGCTATGATGGCGGAATTGCAATAAAGAGGACCCTGGATCTCGCAAACCAGCTGCGATACAATGGTGCCGAAGGAGACTTCGCCGTCCTCGACGTCATTGTCGGCCTTGCCCTTCTCCAGTGTAACTTGCCATACAATCGATAATCTTGCCAGCTACGGACAGTAAAGTTTGCCAGGCTACGAGTTCAATATTTTCTACTGGATTTCAGAGCTACATCAACCAGAAATAATTGCCAATCCCGGCTGCCCAAGATGATGAAAGCAGGCCGTTTTTTTATGGACCTGGCCCAAACGGCCATATGATAGTGGAAAAGATACCAATCCCGAAGCCTGGACCTACACGGATGCTGGTCAAGGTCCGAGGCGCTGAACTCCGTCACTCGGATTAGGAACCTTTTGAAGGCTGCACTGGGTTTAATTGGCGGAGGCAGCCAATGGTCCATGACACCAGGGCATGAAGTCTGTGGAACGGTTGTCGAGGTTGAGATCGAGTTTCTCGCTCCAAGAAAGACGAGAATATTGATGCTCCATGCCTAACCGAAGCATCGACAGGGACATGCACCACAACCTTTACAGACTACAAAATTGCCTACTCAACCCCGCTTTCTTCACTAGAAGCTTAACAGCTCTTGTACATCTGCCACCAACATGAGCAATGCACCCTGGACAATATTGCATTGCACATACTGGCGAACTTCAATTCTGCAACTGTCGTGCTAGACCTCATGCCAACAATACTGTGAACAACCGCACCGAGCATCGCTGAGATGGCGCTGCTTTCGGTCTATCAGCCAAGGCTAAATTTCTTAATCGCATTGGACGCACCATAAATCTCGCCAACAAGATTACTTGAGTATAATGACCCAACGTGCGTATTAAAGGGCGCGTAAAATGACACGCGCGGCACCCTGCTCCGCATTCACATCTCGAATTATTTCACATGGGCTACAGGATTGCTCAGTGTGCTACAGATGTGCTGGTAGCAGGTGCAGTTTTCAACGTTGTATGGACAAGCTTGGAACTTGACCGTAACAGTATTCTGAGATGCGGATGTACAACCAATTTTGGTCCTCTACTATGGAATTTGCTCGCTGGCGTGGTCCATCTTGTTGCGTGATTCAATTTTGCGTACGCGAGAAGTAGTGCACACTCACAGCTAGAAAATGTGGATAGTAGCATTAAAGGGTCGATACGACGATAACGCTAAAGCACCACTTCTGGCGGTCGTAGCCAATGTACTGGCTGGATGTAACAGATTTATACATTTGATGTTCGGCATGATTATCTTCTCATCACTGCAACTAGTGAGCGTGTGAGACGAGTTGAACTCTGTACCGTGCCATTACATTGTATCCACAGTATTTTGTAGAATCGGGGGTTTAAGGGAGGTTGCATCGAAGGACTGAAAGCATGCTATGTATTAGCGAGCAGAGACCATTGTAGCTATTTCCTACGTCCACAGCTTTGACAAAACATGGGAGCTAGTGCCGAGATTAGGAATATGAAAATGACTACCACGAACCTGGCCGGGCTCAAATTGTCGACTAGTTCTATTATTTAAATGCCGAGTCATCAAAAGGCTGACGACATCAGTTTTTATTTCAAGGCTTCCCGTTGGGGAAGATTTCCGCGCCAGCGCTAGGCCAAATCCAGGTCCACCAGCAGGCTGTACACAGTACCTCATGCAAGTGATTGTCGTGGAGGCGCATGCGTCAGAGAAGTGACTCGAATGCAAATCATGACAGATCCATTAAAGGGCAGTTACACGGCATACTTTATCATGTCACGGCTTTCATTTGAGTAGCTGACTTTGTGTTCAGACCTATGGGCTATCGTCTAGTATGCCATACTCCTCTGCGTTGGTAGCTTTCTGTATGGCAAAGCTAGTGGAACAAGATGCGATATTCGGTCGTACTAGTCAGCATTCACAATGTCATAGAAACCACTGAACACTGCGCTATTCGATAGTGCAAAGTGTCATGACTTCGTTATCCATTTCCAGTCTTAGCAAAAGAGTTTATACTTCAATTCGCATGTGTCGAAATCCTTGACTCATGTTTTCGTCCTCTAACTCACTATCGTACATATATAAAGACACCAAGCCGCGACTACCTCTATGCGCCTCTGGAGGCTGACTCGGGTAGGATGCGGCATTTTTGAGTATTCCCATCTCAACATCATCATTTGTATAGTGTTCGTGATTTGAATTTGAATCCCTGGATGTTTTGGAATTATTCGAGATATCCTGATTCGATTCTTCGCGAATCTGCACACCGCCTTGGTCATTAACGGATAGTTGTGTTGGTTGTGAATAGTATCCGTGATTCGCGAAGGAATTTTTCCACAAAGCTAGCTTTGCTCTGGATTTTCCTGAGGGTGTGCTATTCGCTTGCCTCGCCGTCTGCGATGACTTTGCTTGCGATGACTTTGCTTGCGACGATTTTGCTTGCGATGATTTCGCTTGTGAAGAACCATGGCTCTTGGACACTAAAGATTTGACGTTGAGGTACCGCTTCACGAAGACCTTGAGAGCAGGCGTATTTGCGCAAATTACACCAATATGAAGTTCCAGGAGGGTCCAGTTCCAAATTTCCCAGATTTGCCAGGAAATATCGTACGTCTCATAGAAAAGAACCCAAGTTGAATAGGTTCGTAAAGCCCCAAACACTGCTACTCCATAAGCAGTGGCAAATATTGCCATCAAGGCTGCTTTTTGTCGAAATGGGATTTTAGCCTTCCAGTAGATAAAGTTGGGCAGTAGAGCACAGATTACGTCTTGCATCGTGGAAATGACGCCAGCAGCTGTCATGTAAGCGCCCTCCTCATTGCAGTTGAATTTTTTTCCTAGCGCTATGTTGATGACGTTCGACTGCTCCCAGTATGCAGAGATAGGCCTGCATCCAACAAGCGGACTTATGAAGAAAGCAATTGTGGTCGTGACTTGGAACCCAATTGCGACCCAGGTGGTGATTCTAAAGGTTTTGGACGTGCCGCGCGATCCTAGGCGACGGAAGAAGAGTAGGATGGAAACTTTGACAAGGCCTGTGCCGAGGACAAAGAGGACCTCTATGGCCAAGATGAGCTTTCTTTGGGTCTCAAACAAGGTGAGGTCGACATCCCATATATGCACTCCGCTGTGATATTTGTCTGCAGCTATGAGGAATTAGCTGTGAACTGGAACGAACATAGGGCGAAATCTTACTCCACGGGATAAGAATAGCCAAAGTCATGACGAGTGGCTGTGAGACAGTAAGTGAATGAACAATGTCATGGAACAATAGGCAAGTTACAAGAGAAATAACCATGAACCAGTCATCCCAACCAGCATTCCGTTGCATATAGAATCGAACCCACAGTCTTGAGAAAACGGTAAAGAAGGTAATTGGCGTTAGGACGAATGCGATATTGGACGTCACTCTTCCTCTTCCTTCTGGATTGTCATAGTTCGGAGGCGGCCACGAAGCTATAACGCTCAATGGGGGGTTCGTGCCACCAGGCATATTGATGAACGTCAACTAGGTAAACAAATCGGGAGCGTAGCCAGCATTGAGATTCTGCGTTGGAGCACTGAGTTATTATGCACAGATGGTCTGTGTTTCAAGTGCTTATATTCGTTTATTTCAGCAAAATTAGTATGTCATAAGAGTTGCAAGGCCGCCACTGAAGACAATCGTCAAGCGGAAGCATGCAAGCATACTTTCAACGGCTCGCTCTCCGCCGAAGCCAGTACGTGTACAGCAGCTTTGGTCATTCCGTCCTTCATTTCGTGTTCACAAACAGGAATGAGAGAGGCGGGGCATACTCGTCGATCATGGTTCAATGCAGCTGGGGGCTTGCGAAGAACGTGTGCATGAATCGACAACAGGGTACGTACCAATCCGACATAGGCATGCTAGTAATTGTCCGGCACGGTGCATTTACTTTTTTCAAATATGAGTCCGAGCGCTATGTTTCTGACTAGCATGCCGCGAAGCCGCACGCATCCTTTGTGACTATTGGGCGATTTGACCGCGCAATCACAAGATAGGCACAAGTGGAACCAGTAACCAGGCACTGCTCACGCGGGAATGAACAAAAGTCTAGCTCGGGCCAACGTTCGGCCACTGGCGTCATCTTAGTGCCCGTTACCACGTGCGAGGCCCGTGCAGCTCGTCCATAGTTATCGTTCTCCCTCATTCCCGAGACCCCTTGATGACTGCAACTTGTTGGGAATGCAACTACTCATGTACTTGATAACCCGTTTTGTCCCGGCTGTAATGTGATCCACTTCATGCATGTCATTTCCAAGACGAGCCAACTTTCGCTATGCTTGGTGATGGCTCTCACAGGCCCTGCCATCGGAAATACCTACATCAGGCGTTCAGTAGTTTCAGGCTGCCACGATCCTAGTGCCACTTAGCCGAGCTGCGAGAGTGGTTTTACATGTCACGCTGTCATTGCGACAGGGCGACAGGGCGGGAAGAGGGACGTGATGACAGGACAGGTGGGGCAAACCCAGCTCCAAAGGTCGATGCGGTAAGCTAGCGTGCACGCAACCGTTGCTAACACGACGGCTTGCAGCTTACCGCTTCAGGGTCTGTTCACCTCCATCTCCGTTTTCCGGCTACCAAACTCATCTGGTAACTATCTCAACTCTGTCTGAGAAAAACAAGCTGAAAATGTCGTCGTGTTCGAAAAATGCGGGTCTGGCTACTCTAAAACAACGCTAGACTGTGTCGGCTTTACGCGCGTAAAACAAAAATAAAGCCCTATTAAGTGCTAATTCGCCAATCTTTCTTGCATTTTATATTAGGCGAAACGGAGCGCCGTTTTTTTACCTGGACCACCAAAGCTCTAACTGGAGCTGAAAGCTCCATTTTGCTGCCAGTTCTGTTGAAGTAGCCCGTTACGCGATCCGACGTGACTATAAAACGGAGCTTCAGTAATTGAACACCCCCTCCGTTTCCATTCCCAATCTAGATAGCCTAGGTGCAACGCTAGCCAGCCCTCCCTTGTTGAAGTGCTAACCCCAGAACGAAGATATAACGGAAATGGGGAACGAAGAAATGAACAGGCCCTCAGTTTGCCACATCCATTCCCAGACTTACCGAGGCCTTTGCAAACTTAAGGCAACTTTCTCGATAGTGCTCGGAACTGACTCGTTTGTGGGTCCTTCTGGCCTTCGCACGGATACAAAACAGGAATCAACGATCAATCAGCGCCAATCAGCGCCCAAATGAATCAGGTATTAAATAAACGCCAGACAAAGAGGCGCCGAACCCTTCGTACTTAATGCCGGGCAGATATATCTTTATCAAAGTTGTGCTTTACGCCACGACAGTCATTGTCACCAATCGCGATTAATCAGGGAAACTGAACATGTAGACCCACTGATTATGAATAGCCGTACTCGGGGGACTTTCGAGTGTGCTTGCAGGAAGTGCTCGTTCCGAGGCACGCACTTTTCAACATCCGATCCTGAGCCTCTTCCGCCACTAGAGCTATGATCTTGTGGGATGCCTTGAAATTTCTCGGATTTCCTCTACCGGACGTTCGCCATGCATAGCCATGGTTCTATGTTGGCGATCCTCAACATTTGCAATGCCGGGCGACTCTTGCCACCTTGCCACCGCTTTGGAACCATGGGAGTTGCTGCTCAAATATGTACGTTCAAAACTCTCCGCGTTTCATTAGTGAACCATCAGAGCCAGCTCCACTTTCCCCAGCTCCACATATTGAAACCCCTTCCCAGACTTTCACAGCAGCTTTTTGATATCGTGTTGTGTATCCTGGCAGCCATTTAACGGCATGTCATCGGCCTCCTGCATGTGGCGTGCGTGCGCCGGCACCGAGGGAAAGTCGCACGCGGAGGCTTCTATAGAGAATGCTGCCTTCAGAGAGTCTCAGCAAATTCACCCAGCATGCAGTACCCCGCAATTTTACCCCATTGTTCGTCCCCTTTGAAACATCTCTCCCATTTCTTCGAGGGATGCCTCTTAGTGGCAGCAGAAGCTGCAGACAGCGGTATCTTTGAAGTTCATCTGGATCCTTATGGATGATCTGCCTTTCTACTTTTGAAGCCCTGAAGATAGAAATTGGTATCCTCCCGTACTCTGGGTCTGCCTTCGTCGCATGCACACTGCAGCTCTTTTATTCTTCCGAGGCAACGATGAGATGCTAGATCTTTTTGTAGAGAAACTATGGGGTCAATTAGAATATGAACGACGCACAAGCATGCTCACCACTCTAAAGTGCAGCGCAGCCTGATACCGGACAGAACCCCCTACCACAAGACTCGCAATCGGGCAATCGAATTCTCAAATCTGATACATTCTCTGCTTCCCGCTGGCGATTCATTCCGAAAATACCATGCAATATTTTGCCCATCATATCATTGTTAATTGCTGGCCAACCTGCTAATGATGTTCTTGACGAAGACGAATTATTTACCTACAATTTCTTATCGAGCTATTGCGCGCCAAGCTACAGCTCCTCATGCGAATATAGAGTAATAGCATAGGCTTGCTGTTGCGATTCATAGTGTGATTCAATTGTCTTCAGTCCGCGAGGTCGTGAGGACTGTACACTGATAGTTCGCCTTGCAGCCATGTAGCGGGCATATAACCTGAGATCCTAGCTATATCACCCAGAGTCATGGGTGCGCGCTAGCGTACATCAGGACAGGGCAAACATCATAATGACAACTAAAGGATGTAGCGATAGGAAAATATTTGGCGGATTGTACACCCTGCACAATTAAACGAGATGAAGCACACCGTCCTACATTTAACTCAGACAAGAAGGGGTTTTCTGGCAAAGAAACAAAGTACGTAGATATCTGAGATGGGTAGCACACGTCAGGCGCTTTCCTAGCCCAATATTTAAAGAAGATTTTGATTATTTAGCCTATAGCTACCTATGAATGAGAATAGAATTACACTCCTAACAGTTAGCGAATTTATACCGTGGAGTAGCCTGCGCTGCACAACTTCCTTGAAGATGTGCAAGCCGGGTCACTAAATTTCCAGCACTACTATACTCAAGGATACGGCGAGCCTAGCAGAGCAATTGTAGCCTTTGATAACGAGATAAAAGCCGCAATATATAAGGAGTGAAAAGAGACACGAGCGAAGCGTGCTTTGAGGGCAGAAGCCGCTGAGGGTAAGTTAAAGTGCAATCGTGAGCACAGATGGTCCGCACAAGCTGAGGATGCGCAGCACTGAAAACACAGACAGCACGAATAAGTGAAGCGGATGCAGCAAATACATCGAAAGGTAACAGGAAAGCATCAACAGAACGATGCTGGATCTCTTCCGTGATCCATACCATACGAGCTTAAAAGATCAACCAAAAGCCTTACCACTATGAAGACCGTATTCGATTCGATGTCCTGAAGACAAATAATTCTCTCTAGAAGAAAACAATGAGCTACTTTCTACTGTGTCCCGACATAGTACTGCTGTCTAGAGAGAAATACTATGCACCGAGAACCATATTTAGATCTTGGTCAAGACTACTGGGTTTACCTCGTCTCTTGTGGATGTTGAAAGTGCTTTGAACTTGTCGTTCTGAATGTAAAAGCCAGAACAGCAAGCATGGGGTTACTTTCTATGACTGTGAAGTACTTTCCTAGCGCACTGAATGGCTTGTTATTAACGCGTGCTCTACGTATGTATGGCTATTGCGCATTTCAACAGGGTGGGCTATTTCCGACTTGGTGGCAATACACGAGTAATAGAAACACAATGATAGGTGCAGCGATGGATCCTGAGCTGAGTCACTCAACACGCAAATCGGCTCGATTGATCATCTCGTGCGGCTCCCTCGCGCGATTAGGAGTTATGCACGAACTGTTCCCTAGTCACGGCCCAAATGCTGCGACGCTATTAGATGAAGCTGAAGAATGGCAACACAACTTGCAATCCTGATCGGAATGTGGAATCAGAGCAGACATCAGGCGAGTCTTGCGACTAGATCAATACTGTGACGAAGGTGACCGTCTACGGATGGTAACTCGAAGATGGTCAACAGTACCAATGCCTCTCCCCCCAAAACCAACCAATCAACCAACCAATTTTTTGGATGCAATCTTCCTGGAATTATCACTGATGCTGGGGCGTCTCACATGATGTTTGATGTGGATACATGTAGAACAGTCTAATTTCATGGTACGTGCTAGCCCACGAGTACGTTTCGAAATTCATTTACGTTACTGTTGAATGTCTAGTACATTACAGGTTGTAATACAAACAGAACGATAGTTCACGGTGAATTGTTCTATCCTCAGGTTCCTCGTATATGATCCGTTGCACATGCCGTGCGTGTCACGACAACTAAGCAACCGTCCAAGCTACATAGTTCGATCAGAGATATTGGGTCACATCCTTGGCTTATACCACCAAAACCACGTCTTCTTTTTTATCCAAATCCTCGATTTTAGGGTGGAGCTCCATGTCGAAGCTGTACAACAACAATGCCAACGAGATACGAGTTTCGCTGTGCGCCAGATTTCGGCCGATGCAGTTCCGTGGACCGGTGTTGAAAGGCTGCAGAACTTGTCGGTTGTCGAAATGAAATTCTCATTTTGGGTTCCGGTGGACCTTTTCGTCCCATCGCGGGCAAAGGTATTCTTCTGGCCGGTGGAAGTTGCGCTTCTCTAGATATGGGGCGTACTGGTTGACACCAGCGACAACCTGATCACGAGTCAGTATACGTGTGAACGGAACGAGCGTAGTAGGTTCTCATGTTGGGTGGCAATTCATTGTCACGTATTATGGTTCGTTGGTTCTCGGGAGTCTTTCTTGGGAGTGTGATCGGCAAGGGTGGGTGGCGCCACATCGCTTCTGTGAAAGGGGATACCATGAAAGGTAATTCGGACGTCGATGTGACGAAGTTGACCTTATATTGGCTAGAGAACTTTGATCTGACCTCTTCTTGAGCTTTTGCTATGACTTTTGGACTTCTGAGAAGCCAAAACAAGGTCCTAGTCATTCTGATAGCAGATGTCTCAGCACCAGCACCTATGAGGATGTCCGCGTTGACAATGGTCTCCAAATCGTTCAGACCACTTGGTTGTTTGCGCTTTTGAACCATATCATTAAGAAAATCGCCACGACCTTGTTGCTCAAGATCGTTCATCTTCTTCGTAGTCACAGCGTGCGCCAGATTCCATTATGCGGCGTTTGCTTTAATCAAATGCGTCGATGTCATGATTCAGAATACTTAGCCACTTGAGAAGCGGGTAGCTGTGCGCGACTCGAATTCAGGCCTCAGCTTTAATAAAAAAGAATAAGTTGCGAATTAAACCACCTTCATCAGACCTCTCCAGGAAGCCAAAGGATCCGACTAAAGCCAAATGCCCGATTAGATCGAATGTCACTAGATAAAACCACTTCACCATATCGAATCTATCGTTCAAAGGGGCAAGGTTGCGCGACCCGTACAAGGAAAGGCCAGAGTGCACTTTTGTCAAAGTTGGTCAGGGATCGTTGAGAGTTTGGTGCGAGAATGGTGTTGTTGTGGGTAGCTAAGGGGTCGTCGGCCTGGCGAGGCTCGAGCAAGCGTCTCCCCTCAGGGCGCAAGCCGATATGTACTTACTTAGCGACAGCGATAGCATCGTAGCAGCGCTTGAAGGTATTGCGCTGTCGCTTCAATTCGGCGTTGTGCTGCAGCAGGTCAATAATAAGTGCATCATTTTGTCCCTAGGCTAGCATGCACAAACAGGCTTCAGGAGTTTGGATAATCTGTCGCATGTTTGTACGTGTCTTGCAGTGAGTCGCGATCGATGATTCGTTTTCGGCGCAGTCGCTGCTCTGACAAGCAAGTCTTGCATACCCCCACGGCCAGGTGCACGCGCAGACGAAGGAGCAGAAGCAACGGGCGCGGCTTCTTTGGGTGGTATTGCGTCTGACCACATGATGGCAGAGATTGACACTATGTATACTATCTCTATCATTTATCTAAACGAGACAAAGGCGAGAGCCTGCCCAGGATGTGCGACGTGGCATTGCTGACTTTGGCCATCATTTTATCCGTACCCAATATGGGCCATTCCCCACACCCCACTCCCTACCACGTAAGTATGTCACTGGTGGTTGCTATGCCGATTCCAAGAATCTTGGGGATCACTGTGCTGACCTTAGCTGCCCTACCGCAAATATTGATTCTCTCGGAAATATTGCAAGTAAACAGTGACCTCTTAATCGAAAACGCAATCGGAAAACGGAGAACAGAGCAGGCCCTGAACAAGTATTTCAACTCCTCAATTCTATCGCTGTTATTGTTACTGTTCGATAGCGATTGTGACGGGCTGAACGCTTTTGGGACAGCTCCTGACTAGAACTAGCTTATAACCCTAGCTCTCCAGCAGTTCCGCAGCCAATTCTATCAACATTTCTTCTTCGGAGTGCTCGGGTATTGGCAGTGCCTTTAGCATGGCGCAAGACGGTTTAGCTGGAATTCTATAGGCAATACCCGGCTACTTTGGTTTTAGAGGCTAACATAGCGTGATATAAAATTGTGTAAGCTAATGTCTACCATACTAAGCATGTGTAAAACACTAGGTGTAGATGCTAAGAAAGAAAAATATAGCCAGCTGGCTCCTAGCCTAGAACCTGTGGATCCTTTTCACAATGTTGTGCTGGTGGCTGATCTCGTTGCGTTGATAACGGGGCCTTCCAAACCGTTGCTTGTACTTAAGAGGTCTCATCGAACGGGTGTAGGCTATCGGAAGCTGGATAAATCTTCGAACGTTAGTCTCCGGAGGCGCAGAAAGATTTCCAAGGGATTGAACAAGAGGGACACATTTTATTGCGTAATGATGCTTGAACTCTTCGAAAAATAGTTTTGGAGCTTTGTAGATAATAAAACTTTGGACCAAATGCATCCTTGTTTGCGAACAGCAATCCTCGGCGGTCAAGGTCCGTGAGTCAACAAAGGGAAATAATTCAGATGAACAGACAAGGAATAACTTTGACAAATGCGATTAATTGAACGCTAGAAGCATCCACCGCGTTTAACGCTGAATGTACAATACCAACAGACGCGTCGAGGTTACGACATGGAATTTCGGCAGACTGGCTGGAGTTCATGGGACCCTAGGGGTTTATAACCATGATGCGGATCACAAACGCTGGTCGGTAATTCTTGTACAGATAGAGCAGAAAGGGAAGGAGCCTTGCATTACTCCACACTGATGCCAACCTTGGAATGTCACGTTATCAATCAATAGTCGAGAAATTGTGCCTGGTACCTGTAACAATGCCATTTTGGGAGGCCGACACAGGGCCACGCCAAGGATGCCACGCGGTTCTTGGATGAAGGTAGATATCATGGTAGCCGGAGCTCAGACATGCTGAACCTTACATGAAGCGATGGACCGATGCATGGAATATGTACGGAGGAGGGATGGGCCTTTGGAGTTGAACACTTATGCGTCGTCGAAACAGAGTCTTGCTTATGAATTGGAGGGACCAACTACAGCAGGTACGCGCCACTTGCACCCGTTGCTAAACCACCACCTCAACCAACGCCGTGTTTCGCAATCCATCTGATCCATGCCAGGCATCGAAATAAACTCTCACGCCAAATTAACGCTAACAGTCCAAGGCAGATCTGGTGATGTACCAAATACCAGTGTGTCCGTTTCCAAATGAACCAAAACGTGCTTGTTCAGTCGCCCATGGTTTTATAGCAATGCGCTACAGCCTTCCACTTATGCGAAACGCGTCTGCCAAAGCCACCTATCACACTAAGCTAGCATATCCGCCTGAGTAGCCACCTGCTGGTCCAAACGTAATACCTGCACCAAGTACTGTTCTCACAGCCATGTCATTGAACTGCCGCTCTGCTTGAATTCGATGCATTCGCACGGCTATATCCTCAGGCGACCCGGGCTCTAGCGTTCCAGACGCCGCCGGAGATCCCCCAGCCTGAACCACACTAGATACAGGAATATTGGGGTCAAGCATCATAGCGGTCCTCGCCTCGTCGCCTACGCGCTTGATCGCGAGTGTCTGCACTTCCTCGGCGCGTGATCGCAGGGCCTGAACCTCGGATTTGTTCCTTTTGTTCAAGTCGGGGTGATTGAGTACCCCAGGCTTGTACGTATCTGCGCAGAGCGCTGGCATGAGCGTGGAAATCTCGTCGGGATTCTGCATAATCTCAAGGAAGAAGAACTTGTACCAGCCAGCGCGGTTGAGGGCTGGCATGTATGTTGCGTACGATGATGTAGCAGAGGGCGCTTCTGATATCTTGAGCTCTTCAGCATGCGCCTGCTCATCAAAATTCCAAATGGGCGCCAAGTGAGGTTGTACAGGAACCATGACGTGTGGGATAGCTTCAAGTCCAAATTGATGCGCAAGGGCCGTATATCCATTGTATGAGTAAAGTTCTACTATGTCAGTGCGGATCGTGGACGGCCTTACAGGTGACTTACTGCGCGCATCCTCAGGCAGATCAACCCAACTTGCCAAAATTTTGGGCGCTTCCAACAAACCAGAGTTTCGTGGCTCGAAATTTCGGTCCAGGGCATCAAACAGCAGATCAGCTAAGATGTAAAATTCTCGAGTCGGGGTTTCCGTGACTGGGTCTACGAAACTCCAAGGATCTGCAAGCGGCACACTGCTGGCACTGACCTTTCGCGGGGGAACTGTAAAAACGTTGGGTGGTGAAGCAGCCTGCGTGAAAGGACTATGCGCCAGATACTGTGAGGATGGATTGGCCGCTTTCGTGCCAACAGGCGAATCTCCCAGTTTCAAGCTTCCCAAGTCGGTGGGTAATTCAGCGGTGAATTCAGTGGGCGCAGCTGGAGACACAGAGCTTTCGGGGGCTGGCGTAGATGGTTGCGTATGTGTGATATTATTCGGTGGCATATGTCCTTGTACATCGTTGTGCTGCAGTGGAGGGCTTATTGATGGAGGGATTGGATTCGCCACCTGATTACCTGGACTGGCAGGTGGCATGTTATGCCATTGTTGCTGTTGATCTTGCTCTTGCTGATATGGCGTGTTTGATACAGGCAGATTTGGCGGCTGTGGTTGGTGTTGATGTTGCAGCTCTTGTTGGGATGGTGTGTTTGGCGCAGGTGGATATGATTGTTGTTGCTGACCAATATGTGTAGCATGACCCTGCGCATACTCCCATTGCGGCTGTTGACTTGGAGATACTGTTGATTCTGGTGGTGAGATTTTTGGATGCGGTGGCACTGGCGGCGTAGGAGCATATCCCGACTGTGCCTGAAACCCAGTCTGGCCTCCCGCTATAAAGCCAGTTTCCTGACTGTTATATACATTCTGCTGCCCATGCGGAAAGTATTGCTGGGATTGTATAGCGGTTGTCTGTCCGAGCTGGCCCTGCTGCCCGTGCACATATTCAGATGTGTTGTAACCTGGCGCGCTCAGTGGCTGTTGTGCAGCAGGCGCTTGCACTGGTGGTGGAGGGGGAGGGCTCTGTTGTGGGTAGTAGTTGTTCTGGCTTGTCGGAGCAGCAGTCGAGCCTCCATAGTAATAGTTTGGCTGGTATGGTGAAGGCTGTACAGGAGTGTAAGAGGTCGTCGGCGGAGCTGGTTGTTGCTGTTGAGGCTGCTGCCACTGCTGCTGTTGCGGTTGAGGGCTGTATGTCTGAGCCTGCGGCTGTTGGTAGCCATGGCCTTGACCTTGCGGGTTCTGGTGGCTCTGGTAGTTCTGGTAACTCTGCAGCTGTTGAGGAGGGCTAGGGGCGGGCTTGTTTCCAAGCTTCGAGCTCAATGTCTGTCCCAACTTACCCACCATGGGCTTTCCAGTGGAGACGGCCTGGCTCATCATCTGCCCAAAAATGCCGCCAGTCTTGTGCGTGTGGCCCGACTGTCCATACTGCTGCTGTTGGTGGGCGTAGTTCTGTGGTGCGCCCTGGTAACCGCCAGGCTGTGTATTTGAGCCGTAATTTGACATGGTGCTTCTCTAAGTTCGTCCGCTCACGGTGACGTTAGGCGTGTGACTGTTGTATGACCCCTCCATGAGTGACCTCGGCCAGACAGCGCTTCAGCCGCATTTGGTTGGACACGGTGCTTGGCACGGTGGCTTATTGAGGCTTGAGTACTACCGTGTCTGTGCGCGTGATGCGCCAAACCACCTGCATGAGTACTTACAAAAATGAGCTTATACAACCACTGAGGCGTCCATTCTGTTTGTGTGAGCGAAGAGGGCTCTCTGAAGCATGTGAGCCTTGGGTACTGTTGCAGCCTTTGCAAGGCCACGGAAGCAATAACTTCAGCCGTGTCTCTAAAGATTTCAGAGTCATGCCAGGGGTGTGAGCCCAGGCTGCCTTGGTTGGGGTACTGGTGTAGGCGCCTTCAGTGCCCCCTCTAGCACCAGCCACCCACGTGATATGTCTTAGCAAAGGAAAAGTCTTTTTCTCTAAACACCCGTGTATTTCAAAATATCGCTAGTGTGTGGGTAGAAAATTCTACTTTTACCATTTTCTGCACGCTGTATAAAGCCAATACAAAGTAAATAAATAAAAGTAATAGAGCATACTAGTAGTATTAGCGTATCTTCGTTTACGCAGTGCTAGGTATATAAGTAAAATTGCTGGCGCAGGGTTAGCATATCGCACTTATACATGAGAGTAAAGAGTAATTACTCAATAATTTTCATGTTCATCTTCTTGTACAACTTCTTATACGTATATAAGTATGCGGAAGCAGAAGTAGAGGTGTTTTCTAAAGACACCTCGTTCGTTATGTGGCAGACTCCCTGCCGAATGTCGGGTGTTGAAATGGAATCGACCACAGTTCCATGCAAGTATGTGATTATACTACAGCTGAATTCGTTAATAATAATAAACTGGGTGAAATTCACTGCACCTAACCTCCCTATTGCCGGCTTCTAATGGTAGCCGAGTTCGAGCAGACCACAAAAACGACTGCGAATGTGTTTCCCATGTGTGTTTATGGTCTGGTAGAAAGTCGCGCCATTCATTCGAGCAATTGTTGCTTTGAACGCATCTACAGCGGGGCACATGACGTATAAATAGGACCACGCCGAGAGAGGTTTGAGACCCTTGTTTTCGAACACAACTCAGATACACAGTAAGTCCAGTTACCGCACTAGCCACGAGCCCCTGGCAAAGATCTAACCCAAAACAAGCTTAAACTGGCCACAAACGGATAAGGAGCAATTGAACAGGCCCTTAAACCTTATGATTGTCAGCATTGTCTACATATTTGCACACAAGTTAGTCGGCCGGCCCAATCTCCGGAGATCCGAGAGCAGCCAAAATAGTACCCGTCATACCACATCCTGGTAGCTCCAATGTTGCGGGAATTTAGAATGGACTCGACGGGGTTAGTTATCCCGATGCCGTAGGTGCACCGTACCTATCCATCAACGGTCGATTTAGCCAGAATGAAGCGGTCAGATATTCTTAAATAGAAACTCTCTGCTCTCTTTGGTTCAGACTGGCTTTAAAGCAATGAAAATATTTGCCAATACGATGCCGGCTATTCTTTGTCTTCTTCTCTACCTGGCATCTGCCAGTCTCGCTATTCGCCCTAAGGGCTCTCTATCTATCACTAGTCGACATGCTAGGTGGGCCAGAATCACAAGGACGATCGCGATTCAGAAGAAGGCAGTCGCCTCAGGGCACTGACGGAAATCCTGGTGTGGGCTACTTCGAGCAGCCAATTGATCACCATAACCCCAGCCTTGGAACATTCAAAATGCGCTATTCTTGGAGCAACAAATTCTGGAAAGGCCATGGTTCTCCTATTGTACTCTTTCTACCTAGTGAAACCAATCCGGCTCCTTTCGTTGATTGGTACGGGAATTATAGTTCCATAGAGTTCTACTTTAGCCAGGAGCAATCAACTTACAATCTTGGAGCAGCATACATATTACTCGAAAATCGATATTACGGAGAGTCCTCGCCATACTCAGAACTGACCACTGCAAACCTAAAATATCTCACATTCGATCAAGCCATGCGCGATACTGTCAACTTTGCTCAGAATGCTAAGCTGCCATTCGCTGCTAATAGCACTGCGTCAGATGTGCCATGGGTACTCACTAGTGGTTCATACAGTGGTGTCATCGCTATTGATATTGCAACAAAGCTACCTGGTACTTTCTGGGCGTATTGGGTGACAGGCGCCGCAGTACAGGAGCAGGAAGATTTCTGGAGGCAAAGCGATAGTTTCCTGAAAACAGGACCGAAGAACTGCACAAAAGACGTAGCATAAGCGACCGAACATATCGACAGTGTGTTATTAAATGGTTCCCAAAAGGAGATTGACGCCCTCAAAGCCAGCTTCGGTCTCCAAGATCTGACTCACAACGACGATTTCGTAAACCAGCTCAGTCAGAACCCTGAGCTTAGGTACTCTATGCAGTTCGATTTTCTCACCGCACCGGACGTGATGAACAGTTATATGTGTTGTGATGCTATTGAGGGTGTTTGGGACCCAGTAACTCGAAATTATACCCATTCCAAGCTTCCTGGTGTTGAAGGAGTGGGCGTTGAGAAAGTACTAGAAAACTGGACTAAATGGATGAAGTATTACCAGCTACCTGGATTCTGCGCAAGTTTTGGCGAGAAATACTACCCTGGACTATATAGCAAGAACAGTACTTACTGCGATGAGTCCTATGACCCCAACAACCCGTTCTATACAGATATGAGCGTTGGAAATCCATGGAACCGACAGTATCTCTGGCTTTCATGCAATGAACCATTCAGCGCCCGGACGGCAAGTGCACCCAAAGGTGTTACAACACTCATCAGCCGCTTACTCAACGTCGAGTATGGGTACCACATGTGCGATATGCTGTTTCCCAAAGGTCCTCATGGTGAGGCATACGGCTTGCGTACTGCGGACGAGTTCAATGAGTATTGGGGTGGTTGGAATATTGGAAACACGAGTCGATTGTTACTTGTCAATGGAGAATACGATTATTGGAGATCAGCCACGGTTGCAGCGGAAAATCGTCCCGAGGGTCCCCTCAAGAGCACAGAGCAGCTTCCTACCTGGATTGTGCCTGGTGGTTATCATTGCAGTGATTCTTTGTACTATCGGAATGGCCGTCTTAACGAAGGTGTTCGAAAGGTGATTCATGAAATACTTGCACAACTAGAAGCCTGGGTAAAGGAGTGGCCAGGAAAGAACGATTCTTCTAGTACTAGCTAGTGTTAGGCAATCAAGCCACCAGCCCAGAGGCTAATATCCGATGTTCTTTACCCTATTTTCTTCTAGTGATTGACCCTTGTTATTTAGTGCTTCTTCTTTATCGCTATAGACAAAGTAGCTTAGTCTACAACGACACCTTAGCTTTATAATAAGCCAGACGTGGGTTGACAGGCACATGAATCCATCCGCGGGCCGCGCACAACCAAATTCCTCGGAGCGGAGTCCGAGTACTAAATACGTACACTACCGCTAGCCCACCCCTCGCCTCGAACACCTTCTGGCTTTCTCCGTGTCGCATCCACCTAGCTGAATGCTGGTTGTTTTTGCAGCTCTCAGAGAGTATGCAATCTCCTACGCGCCGCGTTGCGAAGGGCCGGAGCCAGCCTGCGTGTAACCCTTGCCGCCGGCGGAAGTCTCGTTGCAAGTATGAGCCAGCGGAGCACGTCTGCCTGATGTGCAAAACGCATCAGACACAGTGTGTCAGACCACCGCGGAATGGTTCAGTACAGAGCACGTGGAGAGACGGACAGATTGAGCAGAGCTCGCGCTACCCTCCCCAGTCGCCATCTCAGGCCTCGATGCGAACACGTGACCCGCGGCCGTCCATCGTCGACGCCAACTCCGTCGCCATTTCAACATCTCCTAGTCTGTGCCTCGGTGCGGCTCCAGAGGCAGCATTCGACGCCAATGATGAGGACAACCCACACATTGTGGCCCCGGCCACAGCCGCAGACAGTCATTTTCTCCAAGACTATCTGTCGAGCATTCACGCGACACAAGGAGAGCGAGCTATTCGACCCGCGCTGCCTGGCACTGCGTCGGCGCCTGTCGTCTTCATGCGCGTGAGGAAGAGGCCTGTGGGCCTGACCATAGACCCGAACCCTTCCTCAGCCAAGCTGCAGATGATTGTGAAGCTCTTGGAGCCCCACCAAGACGCATTGCTCATGGTCTATCGCACCAAAGGAAACGCATGTTTCCCAATACTCCATGAAGACTTCTTCGCCCGGGACAGTACACGCTCTCGCATTTCGCCGGCTGTGCTTGCTTGTGTATATGCTCACGCAATGTGCTACTGGTCCTCCGACGAGCAACTGAGGACATGTCGTCGCCCAGATGGCCGTTTCATCTGGAATTTGGCATTAGATGCTCTCTACTTCGAACTACACATTTCGCCTGGCATGTCATCAATCATTTCCATATTGCTACAGTGGGGTGACAAAAAAAAGTCCAAATCCAAAAAGTTGTCGTTTTTAAACATTTATTACTTAATAACTAGACAAGCTATCCTAAAACGGGTTAATGCATTTTAAAGCCAAGATGTCCTAGTTTAGTATAGGGTAGTCACGTGACTGTAAGTCAGCCTTTTTGTTAGCTAAAATAAACTAAAAAAATAAGAGAAAAAAAACTAAAAACTAAAAATAGTAATCTCTTTTTATTTAATAGATATTATACTACAGTTTCTATATATAGTATACTAGGCTATATAAACTTTATATATATATAACTTAGTTAGATATTGTTACACGGGGTTGGGTGCTGATACTTCTCTAAGCTCGATCCGGGTTAGGGCGAGTAAGGATATGTGAATAGCGCCGTGAGGTAGTTATCTGGCGATGCAGTAGAGTAGGCGTGCTTAAAAGATAGATAACAATAGGTTTAACAATTCCTAATCTATATTAAATAGACTAACAAGTATTAATCTTATAAAGTTAAGTAACTAGTAAGAAAGTATAATTTAAGTTAACCACAACGAGAGTAATAATAAAATCTATCTATCCTTATATCCTTATTACTTCCAGTCCTGACATCTATGGCATCTTCGAAGTGCCCTGGCATCTGGAGATGTTCGAGATGTCCTGGCATCTCGAGATGTTCTAGCATCTGTCTTCTTAGCGCGATATCTGGTCTTGGCGAGATGCTAGATTACATGATTCTCGCCCCGCGATAATTATTACCTTCTGACGTGGACGTCCATAGGCTCCTTGCCTTCTATCCTTCGTTAAGGAGAGAATCCTTCTTATTACTTATAACATTATCCCCCCTCTTAGGCGTATTATCCTAATACCCTAGATTATCGTTTTACCATGCCGCGTGTTAAATCGCTAGCTATATATAAGGTCGGTAGGCCCTAGGCTATTATAACCGTCCCTTCCTAACTCTAGCCTTTCTAACTATACCTAAGGTCCAAAAGCCCTATACTCCCCGTGCCTAGACTTCGACTAAATAGAAACGTGCTCGTGCTGCGCGAGCGGAAGAGAAAGGTTTTAAAATAGATTTTCGTTATAAGCGTTATAAGGAGAAGAAGCTTCATTACTTCGTTAAAACGTCCTCTAGCTGTTATACTGGGTGCATCTTAGTTAGTGCTAAGTGTAGTTTATTTATTTCTGAAAAAGAGTAGGAAGAAGTGCAGGCTGAGCAGGAGCGTAAGGAATTAGAGGTTACTTAAGCTAAAGAGCGTCAGGCTCTAGCTGCTGCTAAGGCGTCTCGCCTGCGCCGTAAACTTCTAGAGGTAAAGAATAGAAAGTGTGCCTTTACGCGTTGTAATCTTGCGATAATTACTATCTAAGATCGTGCAAAAGAGCAGGCTGAGGGGAGCTCAGCCCCTAGTAGTACGGGCCTTCCTATTATCGAACTATCGCTATCCGGACCGTTGACTAACCTAAGCTAGTTACAGGCTAATTTCTATAATCCTTCTTTTAACTATTCCTTTCTCTTCTCTAAGGGTTTGCCCCTCGCTTCTCCGGGTGCTTCTAGTGGTATTTACGTACTAGTAACTTATAGTTTGTTAGATTTCCTTTAGGTTCCTAAGTGTTATAGCTCTCAGGCTATCCTTGCCACTTAACTAAGTACTTCCACTAACTACCGATTTTCCACAGGTCCTTAATTTCCTTAACCTTATACTCGTCGTCTTTAAGCTCTATATCTGTTACTAGCTTAGTATCTAGAGGTACTAGTTCTAGGAGTTTCTTATAAAAGATAGGGTAGATTCGTATACCTTATAGGAGTTTTAACTTATAGTTTACTTTTCCTATTTCCTCTAGGATTTTAAATAGTTCTATTTAGAGGTTGTCTAATTTTCTGTATAGTCGTTTAGTTTTTAGGTTTTATCTTAATAAGAAAACTCTATCCCCCTTCTTAAAGGTTAGTCCCTTAATCCTTAGTTTATTCGCTATTTTAGATGTTATAAGGTTCCGTTAAGCTATATTCTTACTTAATTCTTTATATAATTCTCGCATAAGCTTCGCCTTATCGTCTACCTCTACTGTAATACTTTTAATATCCTTTAGATCTTAGTAAGCGATTAGCTTATATCCGTAGTTTACGTAGTGCGGCGAATACTTTATTATTACTAATTTTATACTATTATAGACCAATTGCGCTATTAGTAATAACTCTACCTAGTTATCTTATAATTTATTAGCGTACATCCGTAGGTACTATTCTAATATCTAGTTCGTACGTTCTATCTAGCTATCTATTTCCAGATAAAAGCTTATTAAAAGCTTCTTCTTAACACCTAACTTTACTAGGAATATACTCCAGTATTTAGACGTAAACAGTTTATCATAATTAGTAATAAACTCTTTAGGTATCCTATACTCTAACACTAGTACTTTAGTAACTTCGTACGCGTATTTATCTACTGTAATAGTCTCTTCTATAAGTATAAATTTTACTACCTTAGTTAATCAGTCTATAATTACTAAGATTATATTGTAAAATTAGGCTAATCCTAGTTCTAATAATTTCGGGAGCTTCACTATAAAGTCCATTATTACACTTATCTATAGTCTAGATAGTGGCTATAGAGATTATAATAGGCCGTAGAGCTTATATCTCTTAGGCTTGTTCTAGTAATATGCTAAATAGTTATCTAGTATTTCCTATACCTTTATACGCATACGTAGTATTATAAACACCTTAGCTAGTCGTCTAACTATTTCTTTAATTTCTATATATCTATACTCTTAGAACTCATATAGTTCCTATATAAGACTTAATCTTATATATAGAGGTATATATATTCGATTCTTTAAAACTATATCTTAGTACTCTCGTTTGTCATTTAACAGTTCGTCAGAGCCTACTTTATTAGGCTTAAACTACTAGCTAGCTACTTACTACTACTATTACTATTATAGCGTTTCTATCTACTTAGCTATCTTAGCTACTTTAGCTAGTTCCGGCTAGTTATACTTTAGACTGCTATTAGGTATCTTCTTAAGTAAGGCGTTATATAGTTCCTTATAACTGTTACAAGTAACAAGAAGAATTCTCTCCTTGACAAGTGACGAGATGGCTGAAGGCCTATGGACGTCCACGCCAGAAGGTAATGATCATCGCGGGGCGAGGATCACGTGATTGACATCACGCCAAGACGACCGTCAGACGCTAGTATGTGATGGCAGCAATCCTTTGATGGCAGCCATCAGGACATCAGGCCAAGCAACGGAAAAGTCGTGATGGCAGTGATGGCAGGACTGGAAGCAATGAGGATATAAGGATGGATGGATTTCATTATTACTCTCGTTGTGGTCAACTCAAATTGTACTTTCTTACTAGTATCCTTACTTAACAAGATTGTCACAAGTTAGTCTATCAAATAGATTAGTCTTGTCAAACCCTCCTTAAGCACGCCAACTCCACTGCATCGCCAGACAAGCCTCACGGAACACTAACGTAATACTCACCTGCCTTAGTGCGGACCAGGATAGAGAAGTATAGACCCTTACCCCGTGTAACAATAACCCTCTTCGCGCAAATTAGACCTTCTACTTAAAGCGTCTACTACTCTATTAAGCGTTCCCGCGCGGTGCGTAATCTTAAAGTCGAACTAGGCTAGCATTTCTACCTATCGCACTTATTATTAGTTAAGTTTTTTTATTATTATAAAACTCGTTAAGTTCTAGTAATTAGTAAAAACCTTAATCTAGTTGGGGAGTCCTAACAGGTATACTTCCTATTATTTAAAGGTATTAACTACTCTAAGTAGTTCCTTATCGTGAATATTATAATTAAGTTCTACTCCTAAGAACTTTTATAAATAGTAGAACACTAGTCTCTATTTTTTATCTAGGTACTACTATAACAGCATAGCTCTAAGTACGTAGTTAGACGTGTTAGTCTTAACTCTAGTAGGTTGTTAAGAGCTATACATCTTAAGTACTAGCGCCTCTAGGAATATCTACTTAATTCGATCAAAAGCCTCTTAATATTCTTATTCCTATTTAAAATCTATTTTCTTTTTTATTACTTCTATAAGGGGTACTATAATCTTTAAATAATTTCTAATAAACTTTTAATAATAATTCGCAAATTCTAAAAAGAACTAGATATCTTTAACTATTTTAGACTTTAGCTATTCCTATATAGTCTATATCTTTTTTAGGTTTATTTTTACTCTTTTAGTTAATATAATAAATCTAAGAAATTCTATTTCCTATATATAAAATTTATATTTTCTTAGTTAAAGGTATAGCTTATATTCTTTAAGCTTTCGTAAAATCTTCTTAATGTTATGGGCGGAGAGGCCTAGCGAATGAGTATGCTTCTACCTATCGTACAGAAGCTAAAAGATAAGAAAAAGAGAAGATAACTAAGTACAGACTTCTCTTATACCTGCTCGCTTCTGATCACGTGTCCGTACAGAAGGTATATCACGTGGTCGAAGATCACGTGATCCTCTTCAGTAGAGATCACGGGCGCAGCCCTTTACACTTAATATACTTAATATATTCTTCGCGTGTGCCGCTAGAGTATACTAGTATATTATCTAGATACGCAGTAATAAAGATTCTAAGATACTTATAGAGAGCGTTATTAATAACTAATTAAAAGATTGCTAGCGCATTTATTAATCTAAATAGTATAACTATATACTTAAAGAGTCTATATTTTGTTTTAAACGCTATTATCTATTTATATCCTTCTTTAATCTTAATTTAGTAAAATCCTTTCTAAATATTAAACTTCGTAAACTACTTAGCTCTCTAGAGTTAATCTATAAGTTCTATAATAAGTAGTAAGAAGTACTAGTTCTTCTAAGTAACGCTATTTAACCTTCTAAAGTTAATATATAGTCGCTACTTCCTGTTAGACTTCTTTATAAATAAAATAGATAAGGCTATTAGGCCCGATTCTAGTTAGATAAATCTCTTTTTTAAGTTCTTTTAGAGGTAATCCTATAGCTTAGCATCGTGCTTAGGCGCTATAAAGTATATTCCTCCTAGGCTTAACTTTACTCCTTCCTCTAGAATAATCTTATAATCCTAATCCTAGTATTCTACTAAGTCTATTACTTTATTTTTCTTAAATAGTTCCCTAAACTCGTCCGTCTAGTATTCTATTAGAATTACTAACTATAGTACTAATCCTTTCTTTGTAGTCGCGATCTGCCGTATCTAAATAACTCTTATACTCTAAGAGTTCTTCGCATAGATTCTCGCGATCTTATACAGTAAGATTATGCTAAATCTCCCGTTCTAGGTTGCGCGCTAATTCGTTGGGCGTGTCTCGTATCGTACTCTAGCAACCTTATATATAGGTTCTCTACTAAGTATTATTTTCTTTTACTAGTTAATAGCAGAGTTATGCTTTAATAACTAATTATAGCTAATTATTATCTCGGTCTCTCTAAGATCTATAATACTAATCTTTTCTTAGCTTTCTTAACTAGCTAGGCGTAACGTTACTGCCTTAGTCTTAAGTTAAATCTAGCCGTTCCTGTATATTATAGGACTATCGTCGGCTAATACTACTCGTATTAGTACCTTCTTATTCTAATAGAGTATATTGTTTCTTTCTACTACTTATGGCGATATAACGGTTCGTGCTACCCCACTATCTATAAGCGCTAACACCTTATATCTGTCTATAAGTACTATAGCTTTTAATTACAATTCTTTTGCTCCTACTTCCTGTACTTATTTAAGAGTCGTTTTAGGACTGCCTTTACCAGCGTGACCCTATCCCTAGTAGTATCCTAGTTTTTTAACTACCTACTTCCCTTCTTCTTTAGGAAGTAGCCTTCACCTACCTTGGCGGAATAGTATATCGTATACTAGTCGTTATAGCAGAAGCTCCAATAGATGTTATAGTGTGGTGTCTCCTTCTTCGCAGTCCTTTCTCTTAGTTCTAGCTTCTTACTTTCGTGAATTAGGCAATCCGTTACCTCATAAAAGTTCGCTGGCAGGGTGTTATAGTAGTAATTATCTACCTTTTAAGTATCCTTAAACTATTATTAGTATAGAGCGCATCTAGTTTTATAATACGTCCACAGAAGTTTAGCATATTTTACTTCTAGTATGTCCCGTACTTAGGCCCTATATATTCTACAGTTCTTTACTATACATTCCTTAGCGGATATCATACTGTAGTAGTAGTCGTCTACCCTTCTAGCTTTCTATCATTATTCCTTATAGAATTAGTAGTTAATTATATACTTAATCCAGCATAGCTCCTTATAAGCTTCCTTTTCTCCTAGCTAGTGCATATAGCAATACTATACTTAATATTCGTTATACCATAAATTAGTATAGCAGTAATTGTCCTTGTTATCCCTAGTCTTTTCTCTCTTCCTTAAGTGGTAATTACACTATCTTAGATAGTTAACCTAACATAAGCGCTTATATTACTCTATTCGTTCCTTAAATAACTAAGGTGTCCCCTCGTTATTAGGTTTCTTAAACCTAGATTATTCTTAGGCAGCCCTGTAGGTAATCTTATCTACTTAGGGTCCTAAGATTATAACTCTTCTATTACGGTCGTAATTGTTAGCTTAGTACGTAGTTAGTCCGCAGATCTAGCACTGTTAATTTCTTAGGCGGCGTAGTACCTCAGCCCCTTTAATCTACTAATCTATTAGTAGTAGTGCGTTCTACTTAAAGTCTTAGAGTCCTATTACCTCTTATTGTAACGGTTCGAGTACACACTGAACTAACATCCGAAAGGGATCCGAACATGGGCACGCACTAGCCGAGGGCAGATCTGCTGATATAAAACCCCACCTTCTCCATACCGTAGCTCGATAGATTTTTGATATCCTTTCGTACAAGGCCTATAGGTGTCTATTCGAATTAAGGCTCGTTTGATGTCCCACGCACTCCCATATGCCTCTGAGTGACACTACCGCCGATACTGATCCGAGTAGTCTTGCCTGCGCCGTTACATTATATCAAAAATCTCACCACCGCCGGTGACGGCATTCAAACAATATCGCAGCTGTCTGTTCAGACTACATCCAAAACCAAGTGTTTCCGGAGTTGATCCGGAACCTTACACCGTTACATCTAACATTCACATAGACAGGATCCCATTGATCTCCTGTCGACCGAAG